TTTTTTGAGCAGCCACCATTTTCTTTCAAAAAGGTGTATGACAGTTTCAAGTAGCCTATAACCTTCTTACACATCTATAAAACAAAGAAAAAAAAGTTTCATCGAAAACGGTGCACTCGTTTTCCCGTGAAAAGCGAACAAAAACACGTCCGCGAGTGTTACCAACAGACACACAGACAGACAGAAATTGAGATAAGGCTTGTTTCGGCTTCTCTGGTGTATGAAACGTGAAGATATGCAAAAAGTACACTATTCTAAGCAATGTACAGACAAAACTCTTATTTTATTTATATAGATTTAATGAATACATCATGTTTATTTAATAATCTGTAATTGAATGTATTAGATATCTGAGTAGTATATAAGGAAAATTTACATTTTGTCAAGCAACAAACAAGATGTTTGGGACAAGAAAAAATAAAGACTGAAGGTAAAGATGACCATCTGCAGCTTGATAGAACTGAATTAATAGTTTTGGTTTTGTTTTGAAACTATGGGTTTTCAGACTGCAGTGTGCTCTTGAAGTGCAGTTATTAATTATTATGGTGATTATATAGTGTTAGTATGTTGAAGTACAGGCTATATGTTAATGTTTTTCGTTGTGTCTAAACACAATGACCATAATGAAAATAAATGTGAGTACTTTTTGTAAAGGATTTACTTAGTAACACTTTTTACTTAATCTAATAAGCAGCATTATTTAAGAACAAAATGAAAAACTTGACTGTTGAGTGGTGCAATACTGTAATGCATTAACACTGCCTGTGACAAACACATTTACTTACATTATCATTTGTGTCTGTTCCAGTTACTGTAGTCTCTACGAATATGATTGTACATTGTAATGACATGGGTTTAAAAAGCAACTATAAACATTATGAGTGTTTTATCAGCAGGTCTGATTCTGTGTATTAGAATTTACAACTTAGTTTTTCAATACAATACTTTATCTCCTCTCACATAATAGCTTTTTTTTACTTGTGCTGCTTTCTATATGCACAAATTTTTGCTTGCCACAAGCCTTGATACTTCCACCTGTGTGATAACATGCAAATGAGTATGCAGCAACCCTCCATCAATAGGAGTGCAACACAACTTATAACACAGCTGACTCCCTCTATGCAGCTTAGCTCAACTTCACTTCTCGATTGGCACTTGTGGTGTTTAGATGTGTTTTTCACTGAAGCATTACTCACAGAATTTCAGTCATTTACTTGTTTTTTTTTTTTAGAACTTAGTTTGTTCTATTTTAGTTTGTTACACTTCATTTCTCTAAGTTTCCAGCCAGGGTCAGTATGAGGCAGTTCTAGATCTTTTTCACCAGGGCACTGTGAAATGGGTGGATCCTTCTCAACCAGGTTTCTATTTCCATTTGTTTATTGTCTCCAAGAACACCAGGCCCCATCATCAGTCTTTCTTCCTAGACCTTCCTCAAGTCACCATAGAGTCATACCTATCTCTTTTTGATGGACGTTCACTCTTGGTCTGGGATGATGAAGGTAGATGTCTTAGATGCTTACCTCCACATTCCAGTCTCCCAGCATACTGGCATTTTCTTCATTTTGTCCACCTGGGTTGTGGCTATGAATTCCAGGCTCTTCTGTTTGGGCTGGCTTCGGCTCCCTACATCTTCTGTTGGGTGGTCAAGGCCTTTGCCTGTCTTTTCCATTCCAGAGGCCTTTGTTACCACCATTACATGGGCAACTGGCTGCTTCTAGCTCCTTTACATGTCACATCTTACTTTTACACTCAGTTTGTTCTCTAAGATGCTGCATGGGTAGATTGGCTGGTCAAGGTGGAGAAGTCTTTTCTTTCCCCCACTCAATACTTTGTTCTCAGGGTATTTTTTCAATTCCCATCTCAGTCAAGGCCAACCTTCTCTCCTTCACCTGCAATCTATGGAGCTTTTGGTTCAGACTGTTTCCTCCTCTCGTTCTTCAACTCTACAAGAAGTTCTATCTCTTTTGTGGATGTGGGCTTTACAAGATCAGTGGAACCTTGTTCCAGATCCCTTGGACATCCCTATCCATCTCCCTTCTTCCCTTATGGCCTTTGAGTCTGCTCCTTCCTTGAGGGCAGAAAGGTCTAGGGGTACTACTTCGTTTTCCCTCTTTCCCCTGATATTGCTGGTTCATGCTGGGAGATTTAATGCTTTATTTCGTGATGGGATGGATATACCTTGTACCCTCGTTTGTCTGTTTGCATGCTTTGGTTTACCACCGCTAGGTAGACGTATATTTCGATTCCACAGACTAGATCATCTTTAGGATATGTGGGGTTCCAGACTGGACCCTGTGATCACCTTGAACAGATCACAATTTTCATGGATTTGTTTGACCCTGGCTTCTGTTCTTTGCTTTATGGATACTCAGAATTGATTCCATCCTTAGTTTCAAGGCTCCTCCACTTGGGCCAACTGTCCCCAATGGGATCGTTGTCTACCCTAGATGGTTGGGGTCTGTAGGAGTGTGGTTGCAATTGGACACCTAGTTTTTCTCCATTGCAGATCCATGAATTCTTCAGTTCCTGGCATCATGGTTGGTCTTTCTGTTCGCTTCTCCACCTCCATTATCCTCCCAACCTGTGTTATCCCCCCCCAACTGATCAGAGGATTTTATCCCCATTTATTTATTGTGCCCGAGATGATGGGAGATTGGTGGACGATCATCGATCTTCCTCGGTTGAACCAATTCTTTGATCCTCCCAGGTTCATAATGGAGTCCTTTTTTCAACCTTTGTTGGCATTCTT